GACAATGATGGGGCTGAGCTCTTCAGACCGGCCCGGCCCCAGCATAGAGCTCAACGATCAGTCGCTCCGTACGATGCTGCGGAGGTCCACCCTGCTGTGGCTCAGGCTCTGTTTGAGGAGAAGAGAAAGTCATCCTTGAAGTTCATGTGGGAGACCGGTTTTGGGAAAGAAGTTTTCGGCGGGCCATTGGGATTTTGCCCGACTTACCCGTTTGCTCTGCCGGTGCTTGGCCGAGCTGATCTCTTTGCGCGCATGACTTCGTCGGCCTCTTCGTCCAATCGGACCGATTGGGCTGCTTTGCAGCCCTTCAAGGCTAAGAGGTTGTTCGCAACCCGGATGTCCCGTTCCGAGGACCAGTTGAGGATTGCGGCGATCTCTAGAATAAAGGAGGTTGTCTTGTATAACCCAAACGACTCCCGCCTTGGCCGATCATTGCTTGAACTGAGCGGGATGCTGGTGCCAGAACACCAAATGGTGGCCATCTTTGACGATACCTATGCAAAGAAAGCTACCAGTACTTTGAGCAAAAGGTCCTGTGACTACTTGAAGTTCGCTAAGTGGCAGGTTCAGGTCAACCATGGCAAGCCTCTGAGGGTGCTCGAGAAAGACATGTACGATTACGTTTGTCATCTTCGAACCTCTGAGGCTGCGCCGACTTCGGCAGCGGCCTTCATTTCGGCTTGGCGTTTCTTCCACTTCACTACCGGGAGTGCCTCTGAGGACAACATTGTCTCTCAGCGAGTCGAGGGGGCAGCCCACACGTGTTACCTGAAGAAGCGGCCTCTCAAGCAAGCTCCTCCGTGCAAGGTGTTGCAGGTCAGAAAGCTCGAGGCCATTGTCTTCGCAGGCAGTGATTTGCATGCGGTGATCTGTGGATTCGGGCTGTTTTGCCTTTTCTCTACTGCAAGGTGGGGGGACGCAGCCAAGGCCACCGGTCTCAAGATGGATTCCCATGGACGTGTGTTCCTAGTTGAGGCAGTGATGCTTGGACACAAGACGGCCAAGAAGGCCGACGACAGAACAACCTTCATGCCCCTCATCGCCCTGGGACATACCTTCGAGGAGGAACCTTGGGCAACAGCGTGGCTGAGTGCCCGCTCAAGGATGGGACTGGATGAGAGCATGATCCTCATGCCTGCTTATTCGGAGCAGTCAGATGCTTGGATGGACCGGCCCATGACCTCGGCGGAGGGCTCCGCATGGTTGCAGGAGATCTTGTGCGACAATGGCATGGACCCTGACGAGGTCAAGGACCTGACCACCCATTCTCTGAAGGCCACGCCGTTATCGTGGGCGACCAAGTCGGGGAAATTCAGCAAGCATGAGAAGCGAGTACTGGGGCATCATGTGGCCCCTGGCGAAAAGATGATCGTCACTTACGGTCGTGATGTTATGACTCCCGTCTTGGCAAAGCTCCAGCATCTGGTTGATGCCATCAGAAGTGACCAGTTCGACCCGGATCAGCCCAGGGCGGCCAGGTTGCACAGCCTTGTTCAGAAATTGAACGAGGAAGCGGACATCGAGCCTTATGCCGAGCGCCAAGCACAGGACTTGGACAAGCTCGACGAATCTGAGTTGTCTGATGTATCAGCCGAAGACCATGATGGACTTGGAGCGTTGCCCAGCCTGGTGCCCGGTCTCACTGAAGATCGCGAGCCGCCAGAGACAGGAGCCTACGTTCGCCATCGGATCTCATATATCGTTCACGCCATCGGGACCCCTGCCTCCATGCTGAGATGCGGGCGTACCTTGAATGGGAATTACGAGAAATATACATTTACCCTGAGGCTCGAAGGGCCTTCTAATATGTGGTCTCGGCCCTGATGCCTGGTTTTGGATAGGATCTGCCTGATGCCATGATTTTACAGGTCTCGGGCCTACTAATATTACGCTGTTGGGACATCTGGCTAAGTATACAAAAATATAGTAGGAGACCATAGAACCCAACAATCCCTGACAGTAATGTAGGCTTGCTTCGGCTGACATGAACAGCTGCTGCCTGATTCCAGATATGGTGGTCATGTGTGCGAGAAGTTTCGGCACATTCGTGCCAAATACAGGTAGAATCGAGAGCATTTCCACGGGGCGAGTCAATATTTCTCCACGATGTGTTTCGACGGGGCTTTTAAATCGGTTTTGATCTGTCATAGTGGTTGTGGCCTGCTTGTGGCCATGAAGCGTGCGCTCCTTCTCGGGCGCTTGCAACAACAGAAGCGTGCTGAACATGGTCCAGCATGTCGCCGTGATGGTGCGCCCCCACCCTTCGAAGCTGCTTATGTAATTCGTTTGCGATCAGTGTGCGAGTTCTCATTCTTGGTCAAACCTGCCGTCCAAAGCCCATTTTGTTTAAGTTCGACTGCCAAGCTAGCTACTTGAGAAAGCATGGCGGCCACTGTTTCGGAGCCGGTTGTTCCTCTGTCGCACAAAGAAATTCCACTTGTGTCTTATATGAGGTCTCGAGAACTTATATAACTGTTTTGTGGAAGCCAGGACGTGGTTGATCAGCTGCACCAGCTGCTGGAGCTATTGTATGCCGAGACTGAATGGGAAGCCCTTCGAGACGCCGAGGCATTCCCCAGCATTGTTTTTTTGCCCGAGAGCGCTTCTCTGCATCATGATCTGAACCCATATGAGGGCGGTGATCTGGTGATGATCTCGGAAACCTCAGCTGCTGCTGGTTCGGTCTACGAGAGTGATGCTACTTACCAGCATGATTCTGAGCTTAGGCTTAGTACGAGATCAACCTAGCAAGCCGGTAGTGTGAAACATGCAACACAAAGGTGCAGCTCAACTTTGAGGCCGTGCTTAATGTCCTCGTGAAATTCGAGCTCAGCCAGCCAACCCCGCGACAGTTTGCAGTGGCTCGGGAATGGAATATGATAAAGAATCATTGTCTTCATTATATACATGCTGATGACATGTGTTTGTAAGGCAGCCTTCGGGAAGGTCAACAGTGTGCACGGGATTCTCGTTTTGGGTAATTTGAAGAACAAGGGGACGAAGGATCAGAGGAAGATCCTGAAGAAGGACATTCGCGTCACTTGGCTCTCTGATCACCTCATCAGCTATCTAGCAGAATCTAGTGTGTAGGCACATTCAACTGCGACTGCGAGTGGGATACGATGCATTCTGTGAGCTTTGAAGCCAGCTTCTAGTTATACTGAGGACTGGTGCAATTGCCAAGGAGGGCGCCTACGAGCACTGGTCTCCTTGACGATTAGGTTGACCAGGCGAACTTCTGGTGCCAGGACAATGTGCTGTGGTATTCAGCTAGATGACTCTATCATTTTACCAAAATGCGCAGGAGTGAAATGATACAGGCTTTGAAAAACCTTGTGAGAAGCTTCCCTGGCTTCAGCTCCCTCCCTGTACCTTTGCATGCACTATTGTAGAGCTTCGCAAGGATACCCCTGAAACCCATAATTAACAAATCTGCCTAGGTCGATCCTGACGACGCCACCGAGTCACAGGTCCCGCAGTCGATTGATGGCATCAGTGAGGCGTCCAGTTCTGCTGAGGTCAGCCGGCATACCTTGTAGTTGGGCATTTGCATTTGGTTATAATTATTATAGGGTTTAAGGCCCTAGGGTTGAGGGTTTGGGGCCTTGGGTTTAGGGTTTCGGGGCCTTGGGTTTAGGGTTTAGGGTGCTAGGGTTTAGGGTTTAGGGCCCTAGGGTTGAGGGTTTGGGGCCTTGGGTTTATTATAGCCTTGGCCTCATGCTGGTTTTGGCTAATTCGTTGCCAGGATGTCACGGGAAGTGATGATGCGCCTGCATCTGTGGTTCATGGGCTTGACACAAATGAGGACTTACCACATGGGCTGGGCGGGCATTTGGGCTTCATAATTTGATTATCAGATTTGGCTTCATGGAGGTTTCGGATCTTTGGGCGGATTTCTTTGTGCTAAATCTTGCTCGGGCACAGCAAATACCTGAACCCCACCTTGAACTAAATATTCGGATCCTCGACACTCAATCAGATGTATTCATAAACCCAAACCTGCTAGACTTAGTCAAGCGTAATACCCCACATCCCTGAACCGTCCTATCAACAACCCCGTGCAACACAGGACTCGCAGCTGCCACCAAGTCAAGCTGAATTGGACGAGGCCCTCCACATTCCGAAGCCAGATGGCAGTGGTGCCGACGAGCCCCAGCTTAGTTGTGAGTTCAAGTGGCTCGCTCCGTATCTTTGCATTCCCCAAGCCAAACTACAGCCTGAAGCCCTGCACCTTATAGCCCTCGCTTGCAGGATCCTGAACCCATGGGCACCCTGAACCCTTTAAAAACACCTGTTCTAGTCAGGACTCTGGCTCCCCTGAGAACGCGTGTTCTTCTGATGCAGCTGACAAGGATTGCAAGTTGTTTGCTGCATGAAACTTTGTGTGTGCCCACTCATGCAACGATGGGGTTCAGGACTCTGGCTCCCCTGCTACGAAGTTGTCTTCATCCGAAGCAGTTGGCAAGGAGCGCATGTGTAGCAACACGGGGTGTGTGCATGTGTAGCAGCATGTGTCATGTAGTTTTGTGTGTATGTTCTACTTTTGTAGGATTTAGTGTTGGGTTCAGGATTCCGGCACCCCTGAGAAGACGGTTACATCCGAGACTGACAAGGATTGCTGCTGCCGTGCAGTGTACGTTTGCAGAATTTCGTGAATATGCCCCACAATAACTGTGCACATTCAGGAGTCTGAATCTCCTGCTACGGAGTCGTCTTCATCCAAGGCAGCTGACAAGGTTTGCAGTTGCGACGATAGCACGTGTCGTAAATGATATGTTTGCTGGATTCCTGCGCCACTCATGCAACACTTGTGTTCAGGAGCCTGGCTCCGCTGCAAACGCGGATTCCGAGGAAGCTGGCAAGGACTAGTGTTTCGTTCATGTCGTGTAGACCAGGTGTGATGTTTAAAGAGCAGTGTCATGGTTCGGTAGGATGACAACCCGCTGCTTCGGGCGGATGCAGTGGCTCTTCCGCCTGCCTTGTTAAAGCAGCTGAACGACATGGAGGTCGACCCAGACTTGGCGCTGTTCCACAAGCAGAAGGAGTTGAAGGCACAGGCCCGTGAGGAGAAGGCTAGGAAGGCCCTAGAGCGTGCCCTGGTTAAAAAAAGAAACCCAGCTGCATATCAGAAGACCCAATGAAACACTGAATTACAAAATCAGGCAAGGAAAAGGCTGCTGAAAAAGCTGCTGCAAAGGCAGCTGCGAAGGCAGCTGCGAAGGCAGCAAAGGCCGAAAAGGCAGCTGCTTCTGGGAAGCGCAAAGGGAGCCAATCAAAGGAAGAGGACAACGAAGAGGCAGGAGAATTAATGAATTGTAGCTATTTATACACACGTGCATTCTGTATTGCAATACCAGGGCAATGCCAAGAAGAGCAAGAAATCCGAGCCTAGCGATGAAAGCGCAGAAGACCAGGCAGAAGAAGAGAACGAGGCAGGAGAATTAATTGTAGCACATGCATCTAATTTCAATATTGTGAACCAAGCCCGTGCCAAGGAGAGCAAGAAATCCCAGCCGGCCGATGAAAGCGCAGAAGGCAAGGCAGGAAAGCAGAACAAGGCAGGAGAATTAATTGTAGCACATGCATCTAATGTCAATATTGTAAACCAGGCCCGTGGCAAGAAGAGCAAGAAATCCGAGCCGGCCGACGAGCAGAAGGAGAACGAGGCAGGAGAATAAATTGTAGCTATCTTGCTGCCACGCATACATGTAGTTCCAATATTCTAGTGCTAGGCCCCTGCCAAGAAGACCAAGAAAGCCAAGTCCAAGCCGTCTGACGAGAAGGCCAAGCAAGCCGAAATCAGGTCATTGTGTTCCAACAAGTTTGAATGATAGGAGCCCACAGTTGCCGACGTGCTCAAGGAGTTGGAGCCTGCATTCATGGTTGGCCTCACGAGACCAACATCTGATGAGTGTGCACAGAAGTAGCTTTGACTTGTATCTAGTTTCCAATATAAATTGTCCATAGCTTCCAAAATGCACTGTATGGTGGCCGAGGTCGTACACTGTGTATCCGGGCGACACTGTGGATGATGGCTGCAAGATTCAGGTAGTTCCATACCAAAACCTGTTCTATGTGAAACACACAGCCGACACGGAGTTCTCGAATCTTGTTCGGAAAGCCTTGGCTTTGCAGGTGGGGTTGGAAGTCTGATCGTGTCATTGTTTCTTCAAATAGTTTTTTGAATCTCTGACTTGCAGATCAACCAGAAGTCGGGCACGAATGTCAACTACAAGAAGTTGGGCATGGCCAAGGCGTTTAAGGTTGCAAAAGTCCTAGCAGGATGGGTGGTCAAAGCGGATCGGAAACTCAGCTCGGATGAAGCTGTGATGGTGGCTGTGGATCACGTACACTAGCTGTGCAGTTGTGAGCTACAAGCAGTTTTGGATGGCCAAGACTTTCCAGGTTTCAAGGTCCTGGCAGGATGGGCGGCCAACCCTTCGGAGTGGCCACTATCTTCAATGAAGCTATGATGGCGGCTGTGGACCGCCTCCAGCCGTGTAGTTTTGTGTACATGAGTGTTCCGGGGTGTGCAGACTTTTATCTGTGCCGGGTAGCGACCACCAACCTGGTCTTTCAGCAAAATCAAGGCTGTGTGTCGCCAATGCTAGAGCAAATTGGGTCCAGTATAGCTGGGTTACATGGCAACCTGAAGGACGTGGCAGGCGCACTGTCACCCAGAAGGGAAAAAAGGCTTAGCTCAACATGTGTTGCAATGTCGCTCACTCATGTGTCGTTTTCGAGCGACAACGAGATCGTTTGGTGCCGCTTTCAGATTTCAGGTTCAGGCACACGGCAGTTCGAGTGCAGTTTGAAAATAGGGTCCTGCATCATGGTTGTAAACTCTTGCAGCTTGCTTGGCCGGCTAGGGAGGATGGATGTCCATCCCCTCTCACTTAGTGGCAATGTGTGTGCAATGTTGTTGGCGATGGGAGTTCCTGCCCTTGTGCTACTCAGCTGTATACCAGATCGAAGTGCTTGTATATTACAAAATGCCTTGGTGCTGTACTTCTCTGACCCAACTGAGGCTGCAAGCCTGTCACTATGTTGCGACCGTTGCAGACACAACTGGTGATGCTTGTGTCAGAGCTGCAGCCTCATATTGGAGTTTGCAATCGGTGGCAGCAATAGTCTCATGAGATGCACATACTATCTTGCTTGAGCAATATGTCCGAGGACCTCGTCGTCCTCGAATGTTTCAGTGGCCGTGCTCGCATTGGTAAAGCATTCCGTTCAGCACTTAGCACATGTCTGTATGCATCATGGCAGGCGCTGAGCATCACGAGCAACAGTTGTTTGTGAACGGGTTAAGGTGATCGAGGCGCGAGGGCGTGGTAAACTTAACACAGGGTTCGAGCTGCAGTCGCAATGTCACCCATCCTTTAAATTCGTTTCTTGCAACGATGGACTGCCCAAGGACAACCTATGACAAACAGAATGACCCGGTTTGTCAGGACTTGACGACGACACCTGGGCTGTTCAGCCTCATAAAGAAATGTTTAAGGCTGAAGCCGGGAGCACTCCTGTGGTTGGCCAACCCTTGCCACATGCATGTATGGATGTCTTCTAGTGTGCACCAGAGGGGACCAGACCAGCCATGGGGAGATGTGAGCAAACCGAGCCACTTGACTCATACTACATTATATGCATGTTTATAAGTTCGAAAAGCTTTGTCGTTGTACCCTCAAAGCCCAGGTGTTCGCATCAGCAACTGCATCACAGCGAGAGCTTGCCTCATGCTATTTATTGCCACCTGCCGTGGGGTCTGGTCTGCAATTGAGCAACCGGTCTCCAGCACACTCAAGTGGGTGCCGCATTTTGTGCATCTCCGGAACCTCCTGCTGGCGTGTGACGGCGAGCTGTGGAAGTACTGCAACTTGTGGCTTGGATCGCAAGCTTCCGTTATGTCACAGCAAACTAGCTGGATTTAGTTGCCCCTGATTGCATGTTGCAATTGATGTCACCAACCAAGCTGGATGGGATTATACGGTCACGAGAATGCAAAGCCCAGCTACTGCATCGGGTCATCGCCGGGATCTTAATTACAATATAGCTGATAAGCCCACTTTAGAAGCCGCAAAAAGTAGTCAAAGCCTGTTGGGACGAGGCGATGGCTCATGAAGCTGAAGAACAAGATGACGCGACAGAAGCGTGCCAAATTCAACTCTGCAGCCAAGAAGGTTGTGACGAGGCGGAAGCGTGCTGATGGAACAGTTGCAGTGTGGGGCCCTTATTTACACAATGAAACACATATTGCGCAAGGTTTATTCTTGTACCAACTAAGAACTGGCACCAAGCATCTCACCGAGACGCAAGTCTATCCCGAAGGGTTTGCCAAAGCAGTTGCCAAGCTTCACTTGCAAGATACCACAAGGGCTTCTTATCAGCAACCTGAGTAGATGTAGCTAATCTGAGATCCCGAATTCAACGAAGTGAGGTTTCTCATCCACCCGGGCTAACGCTTGAGGGCATCCTGAATGCTCAGTTGGAAGCTACTCTGCACTATAATAAGACAGTTGTTGGGTCTTATGTTGGTTGTCATAAATAGCCCCGTGCCAAGGAACCGCCAAGTGACTGGAGCGAGGCCTGTTTAGACGAGGTGCGCGATTTTCTGGCTTTCGAAGCCAGTCGCGGATCCTGGGTGCCATTGCCGGGCTTGCCACTCTAGCTACTAAAGTTTCTTCCGGGAATTTATGGATAGAGGGTTTTCGGTTAATTATAGTTGAGGGGCTTGGGGTGTATTATGGGTCAAAAGTTTTTGGGTGCAGTGAATATTATGTATATGGTTATTCTATACGGCCGGGTTGTTTGTTGTGCTTTGGTGTGGCTGGGGTGCAAAGGAACTTCTCAGCTTAAGGGCCATTATAATAAGAACGTCTAGCTAATAATAGATTGCCCAGTCAAGGTTTTGTGGTTGGGGTTTTGAAGGGGGGGCAGGGGTCCTGGAGGATTTCTTGTACAGGGTCCAGGGCTAGGGTGAACAGGGTTTGTGTTGGCTTATAGATGTTGGTTTCTGCAGAATTACGATCAGATATGTAGAGCCAGTCCTTCAGGCACGATGTGATTCAAGTCTGCTAGAGTAAATGGATTTGGGTACATTTTTCAGGTGATGATTGAATTGGGTTACTGCCTATTAAATAATACCAGACCTTACAAGCCGCAGACAGCATTTCCCAATCCGACAAGCCAACCCACCATATGAACCCCGAGGCCTCGAACCAGGAAAGGATTTCCTTTAGCTGAGCCAAGCTACCCTAGACCCTGAAACCGTTGTGGAGCTGACCTACCTAAGTTTGGTACAAATCATGTGGTCCCGAAGCATAGACGTGATACTGGGGTTTGTAATTTTATATGCTATGTATCCCACCTGAAAAACCAACACCATTGCCCTGTTCTTGTAAGCGAAGCAGCGCCACCAGCCATCATTGCCATCGTGGCTGAATGCCTCGGGTTTGAGGGCTTCAGGGTGTAGGGTTTTGGGGCTTTGTGGCTCGGGCTCGGGGCTCTGGAGTTATAACAAATACCATGTGTATATATATATATGCATTGATATTATTATATTGTATAAGTATATATACATACGGTTGATGATATAAATCCTGCATTACCCATAGTCACGAATATACCATAATTCCCATAGTTTAGGGTCCTTAAGGTAGTGCAGGATTTGTATCATCAACCGTATATATATATATATATGGGGGACCAAGCATATTGCAACGCCGTGCAATTTTCCCGCAAGCCCAAACCTGCCAAAGCCAGGAAGCCTCCGAAATGTATATCATGTTTCAGGTCTCGGGGGTAGGGGTTCTATTGGGCAGTAACAGTAGTTCACTTGTTAGCAGTGCCCGTAGATTGAAAGAAACCGTAGCATTCTTAATGATGTCTTCTGTAGTAGCAGTGCGAGACCTTCATCGTGGCAATACCTGCATTGTGCTTGGGAATTCACAATGCCCTGCTCGACAGCAGTGCTCATGAACCCACAGCTTCAGCTCGCTGGGGTCACGTTCGGTGCAGCGTGTTTCTGTTCCCGGAAACAATACAAATTATAGCATATATACTAATGCTACGGTGGATGGAGGAAATCTTGCACCACCTACACATCTTGTTTCGAATACACATCCAAGCAACAACCCCGCGCCCCCTTCTTAACATTGACGACAGACCTCTTGGGGCGGTGCAAGATTTATGTCATTGGAACGATTTTGTAAATCCCCGTGTTCATAGCAATGTTAAGAAGGGGGCGCGGGGTGAAGCTAACTAACATATCTTAAAAGTGGTGCAAGATTTCCTCCATCCACAGTCCCCAGAGCGGGGTCTAGCTTTGGCCTGCTCGTGGCTTTCCTACATGGCTTGCAGATACTTCCAGTCAGGGCAACGTTGCATAGAAGTCACAGTCAACGTTCAGTTAACGTTCAGTCAACGTTACAGTCAACGTTCCAGTTAACGTTGCGAAAATGCTGGCAGGGGCAGCATTTTGGAGTTTTCAAGCATAAAAAGCAAGAAATACATGTATTTCTTGCTTTTTATGCTTGAAAACTCCAAAATGCTGCCCCTGCCAGCATTTTCGCAACGTTAACTGGAACGTTGACTGTAACGTTGACTGAACGTTGACTGAACGTTGACTGTACGTTAACTGCAAATTCCTACCAAATGTAGCAAAGTTGTGGAATTAATGCGATTTTAGAATGACCTGGCTGCTGCGCAAGATGCACTGTCAGGGCTGCATGGCTCCATTAGCGAAGACAGCGACATGGACGCTGCTATACGGCGATTCAGATTTTGCTGCAATGGCATTTCATGGCAAGCCACACAAGTACGTCACGCACCATGTCACGACCCTCTAGAAACGTCATATCACGAGCCTCTAGAAACGTCATTACTCGAGTCGGTGGATGGAGGAAATCTTGCACCACCTACACATCTTGTTTCGAATACACATCCAAGCAACAACCCCGCGCCCCCTTCTTAACATTGACGACAGACCTCTTGGGGCGGTGCAAGATTTATGTCATTGGAACGATTTTGTAAATCCCCGTGTTCATAGCAATGTTAAGAAGGGAGGCGCGGGGTGAAGCTAACTAACATATCTTAAAAGTGGTGCAAGATTTCCTCCATCCACAGTCCCCAGAGCGGGGTCTAGCTTTGGCCTGCTCGTGGCTTTCCTACATGGCTTGCAGATACTTCCAGTCAGGGCAACGTTGCATAGAAGTCACAGTCAACGTTCAGTCAACGTTCAGTCAACGTTACAGTCAACGTTCCAGTTAACGTTGCGAAAATGCTGGCAGGGGCAGCATTTTGGAGTTTTCAAGCATAAAAAGCAAGAAATACATGTATTTCTTGCTTTTTATGCTTGAAAACTCCAAAATGCTGCCCCTGCCAGCATTTTCGCAACGTTAACTGGAACGTTGACTGTAACGTTGACTGAACGTTAACTGAACGTTGACTGTACGTTAACTGCAAATTCCTACCAAATGTAGCAAAGTTGTGGAATTCTTGCGATTTTAGAATGACCTGCTGCGCAAGATGCACTGTCAGGGCTGCATGGCTCCATTAGCGAAGACAGCGACATGGACGCTGCTATACTATACGGCGATTCAGATTTTGCTGCAATGGCATTTCATGGCAAGCCACACAAGTACGTCACGCACCATGTCACGACCCTCTAGAAACGTCATATCACGAGCCTCTAGAAACGTCATTACTCGAGTCGGTGGATGGAGGAAATCTTGCACCACCTACACATCTTGTTTCGAATACACATCCAAGCAACAACCCCGCGCCCCCTTCTTAACATTGACGACAGACCTCTTGGGGCGGTGCAAGATTTATGTCATTGGAACGATTTTGTAAATCCCCGTGTTCATAGCAATGTTAAGAAGGGGGCGCGGGGTGAAGCTAACTAACAAATCTTAAAAGTGGTGCAAGATTTCCTCCATCCACAGTAGTACTACTTCTACTACCATTCCTCCTACAAATACTACTACTACTACTACTACTACCACTACTACTACTACTACTGCTACTACTACTACTATTACTACTAGTAGTAGTAGTAGTAGTAGTAGTAGTAGTAGTAGTAGTCGTACTAGTACTAGTACTAGTACTAGTACTAGTACTAGTACTATAGTACTAGTGGTAGGAGTAGTAGTAGTAGTAGTAGTAGTAGTAGTAGTAGTAGTAGTAATAGTAGTAGTTACTAGTTACTAGTTACTAGTACTAGTACTAGTACTAACTACTACAACTACTACAACTACTATACTACGACTACTCCTTGGTACACCGAAAACTAGCTGGGGCTGGGCGGGCTGGTCCGAAGCAGTACACTGGCTCTAGTAGCAGTGGCAATAGTTGTGGTAGTAGTCTAATATGTAGCAGTAGTAGTAGAAGAAATAGTCGCAGTACTACTACTACCACTACTAGTACTAGTAGTAGCAGCAGTGGTAGTAGCAATAGTAGTCGTAGTAGTAGTAGTAGTAGTGGTGGTGGTAGTAGTAGCTAGCTACTATACTAGATATCACTCTTGCACCAAACAAGTTGGGCCTCCCGTCCATGACTGTGCAACACCTGCAGATTCCCGCAGGGCCTCCAGCAACCCCTCCCCAGCGAGCGCGTTAGCCCATTGCCCCGCTGTCATGTGCCGGCACTGGCACGTTGGCCTCAAAGAGGGGCTGCAGGAGGAAATGCAACAGCCGGCCCCACACCCGGCCAGTGGTGTGGAAGGAGCACCATATGTGTGCCTGGCTCCCTCTCGGTAGGGCGACCATGCCTGCCTGTGACCTGTTCCCGCCCCCATGCCTCCCTGCCCCATCCCCCTCCCAACCCAGTAACCCACCCCCCAGACCAGCGTTAAACAGCGTTATTCCGCGTTATTCTGCGTTATTTTCTAGGCCAAAGGCCTTGTATAGCAAGGTCTCGCGATAAAAGGCGTTAAACAGCGTTATCCTGCGTTATTCTGTTACTCTGCTTTATATAGCTACAATGCAGGGCAATGGGATCCCATGTGCTTTCGATTCGGGCACAGCTTAAACACGATAATTCCGTTACTCCACCCTATATTCGACTATATATAGCTACTACAACATATAGGGGTCCCATGCACCGTCCGGGAACAGCTTAGACACGATTAATTCGAGGATGTGATTATGACGAGGCTTCGCAAAACCTGCTGGGAGTTGCAAGCTATCACCGAAGCAGTGATGGATCTGTTGTGCCTGATATTGCTCGTTTGCTACATTCTGAGTTCAGCCTCTAGGGCCCGCAGTTGCTAGTGCAATATCGCATCAGCCATGCACCCGGTTTCATCCAGGATCCAAGACCTGGTGGATGCAGCTCGCAAAAACCATGGAAGATCGCACTCAACCTCTCCGAAGCCGGCAGCAATCCGTGCTGCACCCCCAGTGGCCACTCCTGTGAGAACCCGCCCAAAGGCTCCGGAAACCCCCGATGAACCCATGAAGGCAGCTACACCTGTCAAGGATCTGACGCAGCAGCGAGTGCCCCAGCTTCCAGTGGGCACGCCGAAGAAGCAGCCGGAGCCAGAGCCAGCAGCCACACCCACGAGGCCTCAGGTGGAACCGACTCCGCCTTCGGTCTCAACTCCCCTGAAGAAACCTGTGACTGCCTCCCCGAAGAAGCCTCATGCTGTATCGGCTACACCCGACAGAATGTCTGATGTGGGCAATACTGCAAAGAAGCAGCCAGAGATGGTTGAGACCCCTAGCAAGAATCTGGAAGCAACCCAATCCGAGACGCCGGTCCCTATGTCTGTGCAGAGCACCGGAACACCTTTGTTGTCCCCGGACTACAAGCGCCTGAGGCTAGGCCCTTCAACCTCCTTGCCCAGCATGCCATCTCTAGGATCAAAGTCCAGCCTCACAACTGAGAGCCTCCGTCACACAGACACAATGAGTACACTCACTAGTGTGACGGACAACTTTGCGAGCCTGTCACTGCAGTCACGATACTAGTCTGAATTAAATTCGAGTATGTCCCATTCGACAATATGCCAGCCTGCCCATCCCAATACTTGCTGAGGAGAGTCGCTGGAAACACTGACGCAGCAGGAGGACCATCCTTAGATTGTGAGGTTGGGTTATAGGAATCTGTTTATCGGTTTATAGTGGCTTTCCAGAAAAAACCAGAGTCCAGGAACACGTATGCTCAGCACAATCGGGAGCCAGTGCTGAAGTCGAGTTTCGAACGAAATGCTGGGATTCTTGATCTTCCTCAAGGCCTATATATTTTAAGCCCTACCTATATTATCAAACCACCGAACCAAACCCTGCAGATCCTTTCCCACGCAAAACCGCTATGTAGGTAGACCCCGTGCGGGCTTTGTTATATATGGTTTGGGAAACGAATTAAATTAGATTTTCGGGGCTTATGGGTTTTATATAATTGAGGTTCCGATTTTGAAGCTACAGGGTTTCGCAGGGGTTCCATGTTGTCGGGCAGCACAAAGAGCAGTCGTGACTCGGCCATATTTAAGGGAAGGAGGGGGCTTATGTTATTAAACAGACTATTCCACGGCACAACCATGCCGGTGACGGCACACCACCCTCGCCAGCGCAGCAACCAGTTATTCGCAGCTCATCGCCAGCGCAGCAACCAGTTATTTGCAGCTCATCATACTCCTTGGATGGTTGTCTCGTAGTACTAGTAGCTAGTGTAAGAATTATAATAATACTGTGGTAGTACTAGTGCTATGATACTACATAATTACTACTTGTACTTTTACTAGATAGTACTGTAGCATACATTATTGTAGTAGCAGTCGTAGTAGTAGTAATAGTAGTAGTAGTAGTAGTAGTAGTAGTAGTAGTAGTAGTAGTAGTAGGAGTAGTAGTAGTAGTAGTAGTAGTAGCAGTAGAGCTACTACCACTGCGACGAGAACAACAGCTACTACTTGTGCTACCATTGCTACTACTTGTGCTACTGTACTACTACTCGCAAATGCCACCCTGTCTCGACCTTACCTACTTAGCAACATACCTATCTACCTACCTGTCAATGTATCATAATTGCCTAGCCAATACTACTACCGCCCATTGCGCAGGACCAGTGCCACCTGTGCTGCAAGCTATGTGACAGCGAGGAGGTTATCAAGAAGGCACTGTGGCAGCAAATAAGGGCTGTAGTCAAACTCCGGTGCATATTCGACACACATGTCCATGTCCCCGTGGAAATAAGGGGTCTTTGGTGTTCTGTGGCTTCGAGTGCTTCTCGAAGCACATGTCCGGACACAACAAAGCCCCAGCGCTGGAAGCAACTTCGAGCATCAATGTGAGCCAGCAGGGCCAATCTGTGGAAGCCCGGGTGCAGCTGTCGGGGACAGGAAATGCATCTCTGACGGTGCAGACTCAGACGACGACCACGACGGAGGTCTTGAACCATGTGGGTGACACACAACCTGACACCCAGAATGCCCGTGAAGACCGTGACGACCTGGAGAAACACCTGGAGAAACTGATCGACGATGAGTGTGCTAAGGATGCGCAGGCAATGCAGCCTGTGCTGCAGGATGCTGCGGTGGAGCCAGAGAAGTCAGTGCCAGCCGAAGCCGAAGCAGATGCGGACTCTGGCGATGTGAGCAAGCTGGAGGCCCTTCAAAGCATGATCCAAAGCATGCTGAAGCGCCCCGGAACCATCGACATCAACCAGGTTATGGCCGAAGCCACTTCCTTGCAAGCAAAGGCTGCGCCTGCACGCCGGCGCATCAGCACAAAGTCGGCACCGGAGCAATCCAAGAGTGCGGAGCAGTCGAGTGTGACCCCAGAAAAGACAGCACAGGAGCAGTCGAGTGTGGCCCCAGAAAAGGCAGCACAGGAGCAGTCGAGTGTGGCCCCAGAAAAGGCAGCACAGAAGCAGTCGAGTGTGGCCGCAGAAAAGACAGCACCGGAGCAGTCGAGTGTGGCCCCAGAAAAGGCAGCAGAGAAGCAGTCGAGTGTGGCCGCAGAAAAGGCAGCAGAGAAGCAGTCGAGTGTGGCCGCAGAAAAGACAGCATCGGAGCAGTCCAGCAGTGGAATGCCACCACCAGTGGGGCCACCCAAGCGCAAGGCAAGCCGAGAAGAAGAGACTGAGGATGAGAAGCTTGCACGGGAAGCCCATAACAAGTATATGCGCTTCTACAGATCACTCCGTCCCTTGTCATGAACCTTTCTAATTTATATTGCCACCGGAAACCGCTAATTACAACTTCATCCGAGGTTCAGCTCAGTGTCCGCCAGAGGTGGCTGCCAAGGCCTTCGACGCACAGGGGAAGTCCCGTGTGCAGCTAAGAATACATGGGAAGTGCTGGGTAGTAGGCTTGGGGTGCTTGTGTTCAACATGGCTTGCTATATTAAGGTGGATCGTCCGTGATGAGATTCATGTTCGAGCAGTTTATCACTGCAGACGAGAACTGGCAACAGTCTGCCATCATGATGAACATCCGGCAGAAAAAGAAGGGATCCCGACATGGCAAGTTTGTGTGGAAGCGCTTTGATCACGTGGTTACCGAGCAACTAGCCTGCGACCGAACTAGAAACACCTTCAAACTAGTCACCTTCTAAGTAACCCTATATAGGTAAGCCCAAACCCGTGCTCAACTGAGGCATGGTGAAGCTATCGCGAAGGATATGTTGCAGAACAAGAAGAAGGATGATCCCAACTTGTCTGGGAAGTGGGTGCAGAAGCACCCTGACCAGCCTGAACGCGAGGAGAACCCCTCTCGTCCTCGTCCGATGCCCTAAGCTAGCATAGGGGTTGGATGGCTAGACCCTTGCTCATGCCAGGACTGGATGTTGATGAAGTGCTTCGATTCCAAGGTCGAGAATGAGGAGAGCGAAAGTGAGACCGAGTTTGAGCTAGGCCAAGAGGTCGGCTTGTCGGGCTCAGCTGCTGCAAGCGCTTTGTTACTTGTCATGAAGATTATAACATACTTGTTTACTCCCCAATCCTCCCCTGTCTAGAACCCATCTCCCAAACCCAAGCTGATAAAGCAAGATACCGGACTTCAACCCTGGACCCATTATACCCCTAAACCCTAAACCCACATAACATCTGACCAAGGTTCAGGGTTCCTGCTCTGGTTTTATTTTCGAGGGAAAGGATTAAGTGCACTGCAATGCAGTCGTTGAGGCAGCAGGGTGTTGGGTGCAGTGTCGTGGCTTCGGGTGGTACAGAGGGCTGTAGTGGTGAAGATGCTGATGGTGGTGACGGTGGTGGTGATGGTCTGAAGAAAAAACACTACAACACAACTGGTGCTAATATATATATATATATATATATATATATTTTTTAGCACCAGTTGTATTGTAGTGTTTTTTCTTCAGACCATCACCACCAATGATGATGATGATGATGGTGATAATGAAGATTTGTTGCTGTTCTTATTCATTGTTGCTGTCGCTGTGGGTGTGGGTGTTGGCATTCCCACGGTAGCATCTGGGATTACAGGCTTCAGGAAAGTTGTTGGGAATCCACTGTAATAAAATTCGGGCTATGGGTTCGTGGCTTAAGGCAGAGGGGCAGCTGCTGCTGTATGCTGGGTCAGGAGGCAAGCATCCTATTATTTTGTACGACTACCCATACATATCTGAACTCAAATAAACCAACCCTGATAGTCCAACTTCTCAAAGCCCCAGAACACCGGCAGGCACCCGAATCTAACCCCAAATCAGAGATGCCGCCGAGGCGATCCGCTTTGGGCGGCAAGGCAGGTTCCGGCGACCGTGGGCAGCCATCGAATCTTCCTCCTGGAAGCATTCCCCCTAACCCCAAGCCGCGTGAGAAGAAGGAGAAAACCGTTTCGCAGGAGGCTTGGAACCTTCTTAAGGGGAGCATGGTCAAGGTTACGGAAGCCGATGGATTGAAGGCGAAGCTCCAGGCCTCTGGCATGTATCTCGTCTGTATATATCAGTACAACTACACAAGACCCGATGTACACACACACACATAACTACATACATATATGATAGACGTGGAAACACACATGATCCCAGGGGCGCCCAGTTTGTGGATGCTCTGATGGCTGACTCTGCCGAGACAGTTCAGCTTCTCAAGGGCACCTACAATACCCTGAAAGAGGCCATTAGCGCAAATGCAAGTGATGATGAGAAGAAGTTCTGCTGCAGCGAGCTGACTGCTGCCCTCAAGCAGTTTGATTCGAAGATGAAAGCAATCCGCAAGGCGATGCCTAGCAACAACCCGCCCAAGGCGACCACGAAGGCAACAGCCAAAGCCAAAGGCAGAGCTGCCAAGTAAGGTTGTATGACCCACAGCAGTTTCAGGAACACACATGTTTTGCACTAGTGTGTGTCTACGCGTCCAAAAGGGGCCGTGGGAAAGCCGTGCTCGTAGCCTGAACTGCAGGTGCTGAAGGCCAATAATGCGACATACTGTGTTTCAGGAATTGTGCAACAGCCATCTACACACATGCGTTTCTTGTTGATGGCATTATTTGGCGGGGCAGTTTAATCAGGTGTCCGAGTTTAGGGTCGAACCTGCGATTGGAAAGCGGTTACTTCGACTGTGCGTGGCAGTGGTTCAAAAAGTTGAATGGCTTCATGTTCGCAGTCTTGTCTGCAGGATTGAAGCATGAGCATTGTCCAGGATGCATGCTGCATTGCTTGCTACTCCACAGCAGGTGTTCCTGGTACGGTCAAGAGCCGCCTGCTGGCTGGTGTGGGATCTGGAGCCTCTTGTTTGCAAATACCGGCCGGTCCTTCGCCAGTGATGCTCTCAGCCGCCAAGGAGTTCAGTTCCTTGACTGTTCAAGATTTGGCAATGTCCATTACCAAGGAGACTTGGCTTGCTATATGAGGTTTTATACCATGTTATAACCGGCTTTGTCTTATGAGCTATTGGAATTATATTCAGGCGATTACGATCTAAAGTGAGCTACGTGTAAGCCAGGAATTCGGATCTGCGACCCCTCAAGATATCCGAGAGTTGGCTTCATGTGGCAATGGTGGAGTTC